TAGTAACGTGTACAAGTCTGCGAGCAACGAGCTTTTGTTCCTCTTGATGAGGAACGTGTAGAACACCTCTGGTAACGCAACCGAAGTCGCCAATTGCTTTTTACAGAATTTATTCCTCCGCCATCGATCGCCACGTGTCTTGCTTAGTAACAAGTGCCGAACCTTGCTCTCTTATATGCTCAAAGCGGTGTTTTCCGCGCAGAACGTTGTTCACAAAACCACGTCATCCTATCATTCACAGACGGATGGACCAGCAGAACGCTTCAACCGCACCCTTGCCGCTATCATATCAATGTACGTTTCACCTGAACGCACCTACTGGGACGTTATCCTACCGTTCGTCACATATTTCTATAAAACGTCCACATAGAGTACGACTGACTATTCACCTTTTCACCTTACATACGAAGGACAACCTACGTGCACGCTTGATACTGAATTCCCTCCCCCAACCACGTCGCAAAACGAGTCCGCCTTGCACGACCATATCAGCCGTAAAGGAGACGCTAGTCGCCTCGCCCATTCGGACTACAGAAAATCAGCAACAAGGTAAACTACGCTACCACTCTATGCACAAAAACTACAATATTCGCCTGGAGACCCTGTGTTAGTCTAGTTGCCTGCACGCCAACAAGGCCGCTGTCCAAAATTTCTTCCACACTATATTGGTCCATACCATGTACTCTAAGAAACGGCCGTCCTGGAGACCCACAGCCTTCCAAGCAATCTTTCAAGAAGCCAGCAGACGTGGGAAGACGTCCAGGCATCTCGTCGTTCCTAGAGCTCATACTTCTCCAGGGAGCCCACGGACAAGCGTCCGTGGCGAGAAGAAAGTGATAACAAGCGACCTTCCAAGAGGCCAGCCGACGGGGGAAGAAGACCAAGCATCTCGGCCTTCCAAGAATCCCACAATGGCCCGGGAGGTCAATGCATCCTTTTCCGCACTTTCCAGGCTGACCCCCTCCTGCCGGGCGCCCCGCACCCAATTACCCCTTGGGGGACAAGCGGAGACGTCTTTGGGACAGGTGGTCTGGATAATGGTTGCGGCATGTGTGTGTGGAGACGGGGTGTGCCGGTGTGTGTGGGGGAGGAGCTGACTTAGCTACCCGAAATTTCCAGTGCTATGTCTTTCTCCCGTACAAATTTAAAGTAAACCCGTTGTCAAAAGCGGCCCGGCTTCCGAGCTCCTTCTGCCTGATGTCCTGGTCGGCGCCTGGCTCCAGTGGAGCCCGACAACAAGAACTACTCCAGAGCTGTTACAGTACTGACCCAGACATATCCGGTCAACTGCGTTCAACTACCTCGTCCAGCTCTTACATGTCTCTACAAATCGTAGACGCCGCTCCCGAGAAGTGCTTGATGTCGACCGCCTCAAACCATTCACTACCCGCTGACAACACCGCCAACACCTAGTGGCCAAGAGGCCAGGAGGCCACCCTCACCAACAAGAGGTCGCTCATGAAAACTTGCTTCGTCATCTTTATTACTAGCTATCATCATGATCCGTATTTATTTTATGATCACTTCATCATCTTAACCGCACGAGCTGGCGCGTTGCTCGTTCTTCCGTTCCTAGAGCCACTCTTCTCGCCCTCACAATATTATGAAAATCATCAAGATTAAAAACATTCAATAGCCTAGATAAAATGTGAGAGTAAATCGTCTTATGAAATCAGAAATACATCTCTCCCATTGAAAATTAGTTTATTAAAACCGTCGGTATGTGGTAGTGCAGGGATTGTAAAACACAATAATTTGTGCGGTGTAAAGAGACCAGCCAGCTTTACGGGCGACAAGTATTGATGATGCTCCTGAACTTCGATAATTGGAAAGTTGGAATATAACGCAAGATTTTCTTTTCAAGTAGAACGCTATATCAGTTTGTTTTTATAGTCGTTGCCCAAACCAGATGGCAATAGTTTAGGTGGGAATTAAAAAAATGAAAGACGTTTACAACTCCCTGTAATGCCGAATTAGAGCGCAGCTCTTGAGGAGGAGGGGAGGGTATGAAGGGGACGGTATGCCTCTCCTCCCCCTCCTTCCCTTCTCTCCTCCTCTCCTGCTCTCCTTTCATTTAGCGAGAAAGTTTCTGTACATTTCCCGCTAAATTCAGTAAGAAAAATTCCCCGCGATATTTTTTTCCCTAATCTTAACGGGAAAATATTTTCGCTAAATTTCGCGGGAAATTTTTTCCGCTAAATCTAGCGAAAACTTTTTCAGGCTAAATTTAGCCGAAGAATGTTCTTTTTCTTTTCCTCCCTTGTTAACCTCGGGACGTCAGACGTGACGTCATGATGGGAAACGTTCCATAATGCAACGCGCGGTTACGCCGACGGTGACGCCGCTCAAGCCGGAAATGAGCGCCTAAGGGCTGCGCTCTAAAAGTACATAATGCATTTTAAGTTTAATATCAACCGGAAAGAATCTGCGGCACCTGGAAACCACACCAGCTACTTGAGAAAGTTTTTTTTTTTTTTTTTTTATTAAGTATTTAATATGAACGATTTATTACGTGTGCTCACAACAAGTATCCCTGGCGTTTTATTTTGCCGCAACAACTAAACTGGCGTCGTTCCGATTTCGAGGGGACTTGAGAAGTGCGCCACTTTATTGATTGGCTTAAATGAAATTGCTCAGGGGGGGAGGGTTAATTTTTTTTAATTTTTAGAACATTGACTACTGACCTCAGAAAACGTTTGTTTAAGACATTATTGCTGTTCAATTAGCCAATCTGCATCGCCGTCAGAAATGAAATAAGCTGGCGGCGTCTCCATCAATGATGAACTGAGCTTGATTCTAAATATTTACTATTTCGTTTATATAAATCACTCAGAATAAGGTTGATGAAATTGTGTAGCTATGTTGTAAGTCTCTGGGGGGAATATGGTATTTATACCCTTAGGGGTGTAAAACATTTTACTGTCTACAATGGGTTCCATAACTTCGAGTCTCACTGAACACGCGCGCAAGCGCTGTGTCTGCACGCAGAGCGACTAATCCGGAAGGCCACTCAACAATTTCCAGCCAAGAACAGTGATTCGATCCAGAGACAAAATGTTCAAGTCGTAAAATCTGTTACTTGACACCTAGAAGCACAAGGATCCTACTAAGCGTGTGATTTCTTGCAATCCCAGACATCCGTTGTGGTGGCAATTTTTTCCCGAAAATACTTACTTTTTTTTTTCTAAACCACAATAGAACTGTCCGTCTAGTACAACGTATTTATCCAGAGAAAAAATTTGTTGAAAAAAATAATGGGACAAATGCTCCAATCCGACACAGAGTGATCCTCTGCAGGCTATCTTCATTCCCGTGTTTATCATTTTATATCCACACCACTACTCTGCACTAACCAGGAAAAATTAGAAAGACCCATTCGACATAGCAGTTCTAGATTTCTATCCTGCATTCGATTTGGCCCGTACTTCGAAGAAAGGAATTAAACTATACTTTTCTATCCTCCACCCTGAAATAAAGTGTCTCTACACTCGTGGACAACTTTCTGTGGCTATGAAGTCGATGCTACTGGCACACTGCAGCGACGTCACTAAGGGGGGGGGGGGGGGGGGGGGAGTGATGAAGGACCGCCCCAGGTGCAGTGCTCAGAGGGGTGCAGCTGTGCAGTGGAAGGGGGTCGCGGCGACCCACAATTCGGTGCCGCTGAACCTAGTGACGCCACTGGCACACGGGTGTTCGAGCACCTTGAGCGCCGATTAAAGCTGTGCACGCGCACTCGTCACTTCTGAAATGCCACAGGAAGTTGTTCACGTGTGTAGACCAACAGGCGGGCTTGACGTCACGGAGCTGCGGCGGCGCTGCGATCGCGCCGGAGCCGGGAGGTGTGGGCAGAAGGGTGCACGTTTTGCACGGGTATTATAGCATTCCAGCATGCCGCAAAGCTGTGCATCCGTTAACTGCAACGAAAAGTACAGTGAAAGTAGCGGAGTGAGTTCCCACTAGTTCCCGCCGGACCTTGAAACTCGCAGAAGGTGGATAATATCCGTGGATCGAAAAGAATGGTCGCCTCGCGCGAACGACCGTTTGTGCGGCAAGCACTTTCTCCAAGGCAAGTGTGGCTTCCATTTCAACCTCCGTCCCGAGGCTTGTTTATGTGCAAGGCAACCGTTGTCTGATCGAGACCACGCAGATTTCGTTGCACGGTTTTCGTGCACAAAGCACCGGCCAAGCGCGCATCGGTGGCTCACTACTCCCGTGCTACCAAGCGGCAGGAGATCGGCGGCCGAACGGACAAAGCGTTACCGCTTGTCGTGCCTTGGGGCACGAGGGTAAGAAAAATATCATACCTTGACTGGAAGGACGCTGTGTGTATTTAATTAATTAATAAATACACTTCGGCAGACCCACAGTTTGCTGATCCCGCTGGCAGCGCGGAAATCGTCTCGAAGTAATCGTAGGCCTCGAGAGACTTGTACGCCTGCACCGTGTCGGTCGCGGACTGGCTTGGCGAAAAATCTAAATGAACGACGACGTGAACCATCGACGTCGGTGGCAGCAACTTGACGTAGGAACTCCGGCGCGCCTTGTTTACGGCGTACGGATCGTCGAGCGCAACGCCGTTCACGCACAGCTTGCCTCAATACCGCTGCTGTTCAGGCTCGGGTAGCAAGCTCAAAGAGTCGGACGTATCACACGACATACGTTGGCAGTAAATACAACGCAGAAATAAAGCTAGAAGCGTCTCCACAACGCCAACAGCGAGTGCACGCCACACTACGCAATGGCGAAAACACAGAGAGCCTGGCCGCTTCTGCCCACAGCTTCTGCGCATGCGCGGCCTTCCGACCGTGTCGGTAAACAAAGCCGCGCCGCCTGTCGGATTATAGACAAATGTGCTTAGCACTGCCGGATAAACTGCCTCAGCGAATGGGTCTTTCATATTGTGAGACACTGTACAAATTCTTTAACAAAATAATGCCAGGAAACAAAAGAACTAAGCAGAAAGGGTGCGGTTCAACAGACATACAAAGAAAAGACGTGCATCGCAAGTCTAAACCGTCTTTATTCGGATTCTAATGGAATTTACAGTGTGACATAATAACCTCCTATACGCAAGCGTGGTGAGGGCAGAGGAATGGTGTAGACTTTGGTCGGTTTCCCGCTATAAGCCCCGTTGTTGTACTGGCTCACGCGAAGGCTTGAATTGGTCCCGCGGACGCCCGTGAAGATGCCCCTTGCCGTGTAGCTCAATCCTTCTTTGGTTTCTTTCAGAAGCGGGTCCTCGAGGAGACTGACCGGGTAGAACCAAAGGTAGTGGTTGTTGACCCTTTTCCGGAACCAAATAGCGAACCAGCCTTCTACGTCAATCTGGGCGGTCCATGGAATTTCCTGAAATAAAAAGAAGTCCCAAGCAAAATCAGGCGGGCAAACTTGAACCCTTAAGAAAAAGATGGTGTCATATTGCCGCCCGCAGGGTCGATAAAGAAACGCTCGGTCGCGGACTTCTAGAGGATTCCCGTTCATTCTCGCACCAGACGTAACTTTCCTCCTGCTTTCTTGTTCTCGAAAGTGCCAGTTCATGCTCGTCCCGAGCGCGCGACGCTCGAACTTTCTTTGCCAAACTTTCAAGATTGTGACGCACGGTAAATAAGCAGCTGCCCGCGACCTCGTCGAGTCAGTCTCGCTGGCGCTCTGTAGTGCCGCCGAATCGCCGCCCGCTTTTCTGCTGCCTCGACGCTCTTTTGTTACTTATTTTTGTTTGGCACAAGTTCGCCAATTAAACCTTTATCCTTCAGGTCACTGCTCGGGTTCTCGTCACCCTCATTCGTGACATTTCTGATGGAGGTCCGGGGTATGAAACCCGTGCAGCGTACCCCTACAAGAACTCGGTCAGCAAGCCCCATTTCCCGACGACCTTTCGTTGAAGATTCGGAGCATCGTGCCAACCGCCGTCTTCAAGGGCAAGCTCCTGAACTCGGACCACTCCCGCGAGGACAAGGCGAGCGATAACGACGATGGCTTCCTGGACGGCCCCTGCGCCTACGGTGAACTGAAGTTCCTTGGCCACGTTGTGAGCAACGAATGTGTAAGTTCTGGCCCTGAGAAGAATCGCGCCGTAGCGGCGTTTCCACCGCCCACCGACAAAAGGGCCACCCGAAGATTCCTGGGACTTCGTGCGTACTACCGGCGATTCGTCCGGGATTTCGCCAAGCTTTCTGCGCCGCTCACGCACCTCACGAAAAATGCCGTGAACTTCGAATGGGGTGGAGAACAACAACAGGCTTTCGACGAGCTAAAGCGACGGCTCCAATCATCACCGATTCTCGGCCACTTCGACTAATCTGCCGAAACGGAGGTTCACACGGACGCCAACAATACAGGAATCGGAGCAGTACTGGTTCAACGACAAAAGGGTGCAGAGCGCGTGATCGCATACGCTAGCCGACGCTGTCGAACGCGGAACGCAATTACTCGACGACCGAGAAGGAGTGTCTGGCCGTTGTCTGGGCCATCACGAAATTCCACCCATACTTGTACGGGACTCCTTTTCGGGTGGTCACCAACCACCATTCGCTGTGTTGGTTAGCGAGCCTGAAGGACCCATCGGGACGCCTCGCTCGGCGGAGCCTACGACTGTAAAAGTACGACGTGACCGTGGTCTACAAGTCAGGCCGCAAACACAGCGACGCCGACTGCCCGCCCAGAGCCCCCGTCGAGTCAGCTACCGGCTGTGCCAAAGACAACGACGATGACGATCACTTTCTTGGTGCAGCGAGCGTTCACGGTCTGGCAGCGCTCCACCGGGACGATCCTGAGCTGCGCGCACTGATCGACCACTTGGAGGGCCGAGGGGGTACGATTCCCCGAGTCTTCTCACGTAAGCTCCCAAGATTTGCCGTTCGGAGAGGTATCCTCTACAAAGAGAACTTCAGGAATGGCAACTCGACGTGGCTCCTGGTGATTCCTACTAGTCTTCGAGAAGAGGTCTTCCAAGCCTGCCACGACGACCCAACATCTGGCCACCTAGGTTACAGCAGGACTCTTGCACGAATACGAGCAAAATACTACTGGCCCAAACTCCCGAAGACCGTGCACCTCTACGTCCGTTCGTGCCGCGAATGCCAAGACGCAAGAAACCACCGACGAAGCCGGCAGGTCTCCTGCAACCGATCGCTCCCCCGACTTGCACCGTTCCAGTAGATCTGAATGAATCTTCTTGGATCTTTATCGCTGTCAACGCAGGGAAACCGCTAGATAAACGTGGCAACTGATTATCTCACCAAGTACGCCGAGACAAAAGCACCCACGCCGGGGACCACCGTGGAAGTAGCCAAGTTCTTCGTTGAGTCTATCGTCCTCCGACAGGGCGCTCCCCAAGTCTTGATTACGGACCGAGGTTCCTCGTTCATGGCGCACCTGACACAAGAGATACTCCGCTTGAGCCACGCCGACCACCGCCGGACCACGGCGTACCACCCACAGACCAACGGGCTGACGGAGCGACTAAACAAGACCATCGCCGACATGATATCGATATACGTGGACGTGGAACACAAGACGTGGGATGAGGTGTTGCCCTACGTCACGTTTGCGTACCACACGGCGGTTCAAGAAACCACGGGATTATACGCCTTTTCAGCTGGTGCACGGCAGGAATGTGACGACGATGCTCGACGCCATGCTGCCCCACGACCCGACAAACGACGGCACCGACGACGCCCAGCTGGTCACCCAACGAGCAGAAGAGGTACGCCAGCTAGCCCGCCTTCGCATAAAGGACCAGCAACGTGTAGACGCTGGCCGGTACAACCTTCGTCGCCGCGGCGTGCAGTTCCAGCCCGGAGACAAGGTGCGGGTGCGGACACCCATTCGCCGCCGCGGACTCAGCGAAAAACTGCTAAAACGCTACTTTGGACCCTACAAGGTCAACGCCGCCTTCGGGACTTGAACTACGAGGTGCTCCCCGGCGGAACCCGACCATCAGGACGTCGCCAGCCATGACCCGAAATCGTCCACGTAGTTTGACTCAAGCCGTTCTACGCGCGTTAGGATTGTGACACCGCATGTTTATTTCGTTTCACCGTAAATTGTTTTAGCCATTTCTGTTTTCCTTTCGCGTTGCATCGGGACGATGCACTTTTAAAAGGGGGGATAATGCCGCCCGTAGAGGTCGATAAAAGAACGCTCGGTCACGGACTTCTAGAGGATTCGCGTTCATTCTCGCACCAGACGAGAACAATAAAGCAGTGCTTTATTGTTCTCGAAAGTGCCAGTTCACGCTCGCCCCGAGCGCGCGACGCTCGAACTTTCTTTGCCGAACTTTCGAGATAGTGACGCACGGTAGATAATCAGATGCCCGCGACCTTGTCGAGTCAGTCTCGCTAGCGCTCTGTAGTGCCGCCGAATCGCCGCCCGCTTTTCTGCTGCCTCGACGCTCTTTCGTTACTTATTTTTGTTTGGCACAAGTTCGCCAATTAAACCTTTATCCTTCAGTTCACTGTTCGGCTTCTCGTCATCTTCATTCGTGACGATATTACTTCATCGTATCACGTGATGCCTTGATATGACGACGTTTTGTGGCCCTGTAAACGTCACGGGTAAATTTTCCCGCTAAATTTAGAGGAGAAATATTTCCATATAATTTAGCGAATAACTTTCCCAACCACGACGATCACGTAGACAAGAGAAATCCGCTGCGGAAAACCTCGCCAGGCTGTCGCCATAAAAGTCTACTTCCGAAAAGGAACGCTATGGGGCGCTTTCACGAAACGACTTTTCATTTCCGCTAAGCCGCAGTCCACCATGTCGATGAACAGTGTCTGCCACTATCCTCATTCGTTTGCATCCGGAAGATACGTTACTGGCGTCGTTGTTGGTGTTGGTGAAATGCACAAGCATGGCGAGTTGCTTCGTACACGGCAGAGCTAAGTAAATATACGACCGGGGACTTACTTGGGCCGCAAAACCCTATAAATCCCTTGCTGTTTTTTTTTTTTGCTTTTTTTTTTTTGGGGGGGGGGGGGGGGGCATGAGTTTATTTTCTAGGGCCATTTGGCCACCGACAGGTCGACTTCTATATCTCCAGCTCGTCTTACAAAGGTCGGATACGGGAAAAAAGAAATTGAATACCAGACGATGCACCTTCTTCTTCCCCAGAATTCTTGCGCGCGATCACGAGGTGAAAGAAATCGAGCGATTTGGTAAACACTGATTCTGCGCATAGAAATACATATGGCGAAAGCTGTGGCATACGGCCAAATATTAAACCGGAATTACGTCATGTGAAACCGCCTCATACACGTCAAGCGAGCGAGACTGTTGTTGTTGCAGTTGTAGAATTTGACTCAATTGCCCTAAAGGCGCGATCACCCTCCCAACACATGCAAAAAAAAAAAAAGAAGACAGTCTGCATTCTGAGGCGTGTTTCTTCCATGTATAAAGCTCCTGTCACATGAGTCATAAACTGTCTACAGACATCTTGGAAGCATGAATCAAGCATGCTCCAAACATGATTGAGGCATGTCCGCAGGTAATCATCACCCTCTTTAATGTCCAACGCCCTGAGGGTATACGTAATAAACAAATAAATAAATTCTGTCATCATACCTGCAGCGAACAACGTGTCCTTTGTTTGGTGAATGAGAAGTACGACGGCGGTTCAAAAGGATTTTCAACAGCACCCCCCCCCCCCCCCCCCTCCCCGGACCCTGTTCATTTCCTCCATCCGTCTGACCGTCCTCCCGTGCATTTTCAGCTAAATTTAGCAAAAAAATTGACGTCACGTGACCTGACGTTATAGACGTATACACAAGTTCACTTTACCCGCTAAATTTGGCGGGAAAATTGATATCAAGTGATATCAGCACGAAATGAGTTTCCCGCTAAGTTGCTAATATATATGTTATTCTACACTCCCCTATACGACTGCTCAGTTTCTTCTTAACAAATTGAAGCAATTGCTCTTTAAATGCGGCATTTCGTGCGATATACGGCTCTAAAAATAAAGGTTGTTGCCTTTTTTTTTTTTTTTACCCACCTGAGTGACATCGGTGATGACCCACTCAATTTTTGCCGACTTCATTGGCGGAATTGTGACTTTCACTTCGGCGGTGTACTCCTCCGAGACGGTTTCGACTTGCCCAGTAGTTTTACTGAGGCTCACGGTTTTGCTGAACGAGCCTGTGATGCTCACCACCTTGGGCAGGCCCACTTCGATGGAGAGCGAGTGACCCACGCTCATAGTGTTTTGCGTCTGCCACGAGTACTGGTGCGTCCGCGTCTTGGTCCGCTTCACGCTGACGATGATGGGTTCGGTCGACATGTCGTTGTGGGACAATTCCGTGTGCACCACTCTGGGCTCGAAGGACGACTTGCTCACGCTGCCGTACTGGAAGGAGCCCACTGTGCTGCTCACCTTGTACCTGTGAATTGACGCCAATGCAGTGACAATCGGTCCTCCCGGTGATTGCAACCTTTCCTCTCAAAAAGCCTATTCAATATCGGCACCAACTATTGTCGAGTTTCATCGCGTGTTTTTGAACCTTCCTTCACGACTCCATCTTTAGCCCAGGCGCTGTGAATATCTGATTCTCCGATTAGCTCGAGAAGGCTGGTGAGCGAGTCTGCAACCACAGCTTTTTTTATTGATCCGCTAGTGCCGTCGATTTCGCTGGAGTCGCCCAGAGCTGTGTATGTAGAAAGTTTAGTCATTCATTAGGAAGTGTAGAAGACAAATAAGGAGGTGCATTGGCCGAAAGCGGGCTGGGTGTGTTCCAGGGCGTCTTCACAAATTCGAGTGTGGCCAACAAGAAGCCGGAAATAATACCCTGGCGGTGGTAGCGTAAAACGCAATTAATAAGAGCGGTTGAGTAACTCTCTGTGATTAAACATATGGTGCACGTGATCTTTCAATCACGGTCATCCAAGATAATGGTGGAAGAACGCAACTAGCGGAACGATAGACATAATCCGTACGCCAGGCGCCGATGGCAAGGAATTTGTCGTCCGTGCGGTCACACTCGGTTCGAGCAAAATAGAGTTCGAGCGGCACATTCGTTTCTTACATAATTTTGTATGATCCAGAATCGAAACATCGCGTGCACCATACTTTCAGCATGAAGAGTTACTACATTTAACCCTTACGCTCTAATTAAAACTCTTTCTCGCTACCACCGCTAGGGGATTCTTTTCGGCTTCTGGTTGGCCAAGAGAGCATGCCAAGTCCTCTATCTACGTCTGGTGCACGCCCTGGCTCTCCCCGCTCCTCTCATTGACCAAACCCTCTCCACGCACGGCTCTGAAGTCGCCAATACTTCGGCGGCCTGGAGACCCCCCAAGTTTCCACACCAGTAAGTAGTTTACCTAAGGCACCGTGGCAACGTTACTGGAGCAACTCAATAGACCAATCTCACCAAGCGTTTGGCGCATGAGCGAGGCAGCCATAACTTTAGTTCACAGGAGGCAGGGATGGGCAAAATACATGCAAATATGTATTGAAATACAAATACAAAATACTTCGTCAAAAATGTATTTAATTACAAATCTAATTACATTTCCAAAAAAGCATTTAAGTACAAGATACAAATACAACCAAATGTATTTGGTCTCCTCCAAATACTTTTCCAAATACATTCCTCAAAATTTGCGTTAGCGACATCAGGGCACCTGCAACGGGTTTCTGGGTATCTCATTTTAATTTTGCATCGCACACTCGGGAGTTAGTGTGCGAGGCTCTTGTAACGTAATAGAAATATAATCACAAAGAAATGTAATCAGCTTGGACGTAATAGGTGAAAACAAGTACAGAGCTTCAAGCAGCTTTTTTTGTCGATTACATTTTGGTATAGACCAGGGGTGGCCAAGCTGCGGCCCGCGAGCCGCATGCGGCTCTTCGCGTGTTAAAGTGCGGCTCGCGGCTCCCTCCCCTACACCCCCCCCCCCCCCACACACACACACACACTGCCCCGCCTCCCTCCCGGTCACACGAGCACTTCCCCAACAAAAGCAATGGAACGCGTTTCAAATTGAGACAGGTTGCGGTTTGGTTGTCTTGTGCTACTGCTACCTTACGTACAGTTAGACTGCTTTTACTCGGATAGATTGAAAGTAGTTCGAGTTTCGGCTATTGCTGTGGACAAAAGTTTCCCCCCCCCTCCCCCCCCCCCCCCCTTCAAGCGGCTCTTGGAAGTTGCGTGGTATTTGTTTGCGGCTCTTAGGCCGGGTCAGCCTGGCCACCCCTGGTATAGACCAACAAAGAACCGAGACGACCAAGACGCGCAACACTAGCTAGATATTTTTTTTATTGTTGCAACTCGCACCAATTACGAAAATCTGGACGACCCGCGCATTTAGAATGTTCCAGGCAAAAACATAAATGGAAATCAGGCTGGAAAGCATCACAAGTTGTCACAGGCACTTATTTAGCCAGTCTGCCTGTGAACGTCGATTTCGTCACTATTCTTGCCCTGGACTAGCACCGTTATCACAAAGTCACTAGACGCTAGTGCTTGATTGAGAGACACTGCATTCGGTGCAGAACATAGTTTTCTTCCTGCTCTGGACAGCGAAAATAAATTTGAGGGATGTATTTTCGCCCACAAAATTGTATTTAATTATACAATTGTATTTGAAATACCCATGTTTTAGTATTTAAATACACACGTCAATTACATTACCCAATTTATAATTAAATACACATGCAAAATACACAAAGTATTTAAAATGCGTATTTCAAATACTTGTATTTGAAATACTGCCCATCCCTGACAGGAGGCATTCGGCAGTGCACGAGACTGTTCGTGCCCTGCAGGCGCAGAGCTCCAGCGAGATTGTCGCACGCGCAGAAAGACTAAACTTCCCTCGATGCATTGCGGCAGCGGTGGCGTAGTCAAACTGGCTGGTGAGATCGGTCTATTGGGAAACTGCCATAGAGCTTGCTCTGAAAACGTCACACCGATCCGTACTCGAGAACCGAGCTAATGACGATCGCAACGCCGCCATTTCTCCCGAAAAGGTTACTCGCGGAACTGCACGGAGTACCGCATTCAATAGCGTCGCCCGTGACTTCTATTTCGGCTTTAATCGGCCACTTTGGCGCCGAAACATATACGGTTGAAGGGGTTCTAAAGGTGCCTCCCCCGTCTCCCAAGCGGACGCGCCAAGAATTACTACCGAAGTTAAGATGCGCACAGGTCGGGACGCGCTACCTGAAATCAACGCTGAGACATGGTTCTATAAGAACAATATGAATTGTGCCACAAAACCGTGTAAACTAAACATTTTAGAAAACATCACGCGCCCGTCATTTTGTGCTGAACTCCAATAAAAGTTAGTACACAAAGAGATTTTCCCTTTGTTTTTAAGCAAAAAAAAATGCTTCTAAAAGTTCAAGGTGACCGCAGTAAAGAAAAAAAAAAAAACAAGATTGAGCCGCCATCTTGGCACCTCAACCCTGGGAGTTTCGGTACTCTGGGAACATTCAGTGACTCTAGCAGTAGCCATATAAGGCAACTTAAATGTTTCAACTCGTCGCTAAAGGGTGGCGCTGTTATCGTATTTAGTTCGGTCTCGGTGGACACCAGCGGCCCAGGTTTCAACAGCAAGATTCTCAACTGAGTATTCTAAAAACGTTGCCCTGTGGTAATATCTACGTGAGTATTCAAAAATACACGAGCAGTGGACAACCCAAACGCCGCGCGCAGAGACCAAGACTCATTTCGGAAATACCGTCATGTCCATTTAGCTCTGGCATATCTAGCCTCATATATAGCAGTATTCTTAGGTGTGATGGCATTTCTAGAGCCACAAAATCATGAGACAGAGTGCGTCCGTTCGTAGCAGTTGGAGAACTAAATTTAGCGGAAAACCCTTAATTGGTGTATAGTTGTGCATCGGTTCAATTGCCCCGCTAAATACTGCGATAATACCTGAATTTGTCGCAATTAAGCACCAGTCGTTCAATGGTAATTTAGTGCACTGCTGAGTATACCTCCAGGCGTGGAACTTCACTTTTGGAAAGAAGTAAGAGAAAGCTGTGCCGCGCCCGCGGCCGAGAGAATGTGCCAAGCTCGACGGACACCTGGAGAGGCGAAGTAAGAAACTCAAATGCCCTTCCACTAAACTTTGTTTCCCGGTAGCTATTGGGGAGGAGGACAGACCGTGACGCCCCAAGCTGTTAACTTTAGAACTACGCGGATGGGGACAACAAATAGAATGACTCAGCGCTCGGCCGACATAACCGAACGCGGCGTCAGCGTGCGGCTGGAGTTCGTGTTCTCTGTGAGTTTGAAAAGGGGCTCTTTTGTTACCACTCCGGCCTGCACGAACAATGCAGCGTGTACGGACGGTGCCAGTTTCAGTACAAAAGCATAAGCGGGTCAAGCTCGCATTCTCTGACGACTGCTTTCGAGATAGATCCGGCACTTAACATCCCTTCGTCGATTGTTAGTATTTTTTTACATTATACTGTGCCCCACGCTCTACTGTAGAGGATGACATGGACATGCCCATAAAGCCTGTGGTCATGTGCACACGCCTTGTGTTGAGTAAACACCGAAATGTGGGGAAACAAACGGGCGGAGCGGCTCTGTTTACCAACACGGCCGGAAGGCCCCGGATGCGCGGAAGCTGTCTGGGCAAAAGCGTCCCGGCTCTCCGTGTTTTCGCCGTTGCGTTGTGTGGCGTGCGCTCGTTGATGACGTTGTATAGACGCTTCTAGCGTTATTAGCGCGTCGTATTTCTTGACAACGTACGTCCCATGCTATGCCCGGCTGTTTCGGCTCGCTACCCGAGCCTGAACAGCAGCGGTATCGAAACAAACTGTGCGTCGACGGCGTTGCCTTCGAGGATCCGTACGCCGCAAACAAGGCCTGCTGAACTTCCGACGTGAAGTTTCTGCAACCAAAGTCGACGGCTTAGCGCGTTGTTTATTTAGTTTTTTCGCCAAGCCAGTTCACGGCCGACACGGTGCAGGCGTACAAGTCTTTCGAGGCCTCCGATTACTTCGACTCGGTTTCCGCACTGCCGGCGGGATCAGCAGACTATGGGTCTGCGGAAGTGTATTTATTAATTGATTAAATATACACCGCGCCTTCAAGTCAAGGTATGATATTTTTTCTACCTTCATTACCACAATGCATGAAAAGCAGTAACGCTTTGTCCGTTCTGCATTCTTGGCGGTAACACGTTACAAGTAACGGCGCTACCAGCAACGCGTTACTTTTTTCAGTAACGTATTAACCTACTCGTTACTTTTTCGACACAGTAACGGGAAGCGTACTTACGTTACTATTTCAAGTAACGTAGTTACGTTACTCGTTACTACTTCCCAAGTCTTTAAGAGATTAAACTTCAATTTTTTTCCGTTTTCCGCAAAGAAAAACGTAGAAAACTCAGAAATCCGTGTTTGTAGGCTTGCCGCCTACAAACACGGATTTCTGAGTTTTCTACGTTT